GGATAAAATTATTCAAATCCAAACAAAAGCTATAATTGTTTACAAAATATAGTTTCCAAAGATATTAGTCACATATCAAGAGTATCCTAAATATCAAAAGTGATAAAATCAGAAGGATGTGCACGATCACACATTTGCTTTTCCTCGATCATCTGAAGTAATTGAAACATAAAACTTAAACCATAAGCCAAAGCTTAGTGAGTTCCTCCAAATACCACACAATAGAACATACATACAAAACACATATTAGGTCCACAACCTCCTTGTTGGATTACCCCTAGCCCATAACCTTTCGGTTGGAATGCCCTGGCCCACAACCTTTCGGTTGGAATGCCCTGGCCCACAACCTTTCGGTTGGAATGCCCTGGCCCACAACCTTTCGGTTGGATTGCATATTACATACTGGGTCCACAACCTCATTGTTGGATTACCCCTAGCCCACAACCTTTCAGTTGGAATGTCCTGACCCACAACCTTTCAGTTGGATTGTCCGGGTTTGTTGACTGACAACACAAAGTAGTACAATATTAACCCACCAAGTATGTCGACATATATAACAGATAAGACATATAATAGCAACCAGATAACCATGTGAATCTTAACAGATCACCATAGCACCACAATAAATCAAACTAGAATACACAATCTATTGGGCTAGCATCGGTGCCTTCGACCCACAAGTACAGTGAGGAAAAGTCACCTTTCAATCTGAAAAGATAGTTGAATACAACACAACTCCATACACCAACTCTACAGGTCACCTGGACCACCAATAGTGACATTGTCTCAACTATGATTCAAAATACCCAAAATACCCTTAGGTTAAACTTGGTTAAAGTCAAAGGCTAAAAAGTCAACCGAGTTGACTCAGGCTGAGTATGCTTATTGTACTCAGAATGTATGCTTCGCATACACATAATCTAAATATGGGGGCTTAAGGGAGTACGCATAGCGTACTCAGAAATACACCCACCGTACACTACTGCTAGCCTTACCTTTTAATAAGACCTTAATCTAATAACTCATTTCATCTAAAACTCAGATCTATTCCCAAATAGTGTTCTAAACCATAAAGTTTCCAACTTTATGATCTTCCATCGCTATTAAGTGCCATAACCTTAAAACCCTAACTCCATAACCCAATAAGACACCATAACCTTTTCATGGAAGGACTAGATGGGCCAAGATCACATTTTTAACATTCTAGACACTCATTTGGTCTAAAGTAGCTCATACTCAAGTGGAGCAAGATTATAGGGATAAAAAGAACAAGACTCCACATATAGCAAGATCTAATGAAATAAGCAACAAGTTCAGAGCTTTATACCTCTAAATGAAGGTTGAGGCAAGATGATTTTGGATCAAAAGATTTATTGAGCTTCTAAGGTGAATCCATGTAACATCCATTTTCTTGGATGAATCGGATTAGGGTTTCAAAGGTTAAAAAGGTTGGATTTTCTGAGAAAAAGGGGTCCTCACAACGTGAGGCATGGAGGATCACGACGTGAGAAGGGCTGCATGAAGATTCTATCCGGGACTAAGCTCACAACGTGAGCAATAAGAGCTCACGATGTGAGGATCGCTGCAACCCAAGCCCATGATGCTTTAGGGGTTTAAAAGTATTTAATCCACCGTAACTCAGTTTTAGGGTTCATTTCTCAGCCTCCACCTTCCCCTAACTTAGAAAAACTCTAAACCTAATCCATATTGGTGATTTTAGATCCATTTTAGTGTTTTAGTGGCTAGAAAAAAAGAAGAAGAGGTTCTAGAGTGTTGGTTCAACAAGGAGGCTTCATCATCATCATTATCTTGTTTATATTTTTTTTACCATTGTAAGTGTCCAAGGACTAATCTTTATGAGCTCAAATTGATAGATCTAAGTTCTAAGCTCCTTTTTACATTTTTATGTTGGATTGCATGCTTGGGATCCATAAAGTTATCAACTTTATGGATCAATGAGTCATTCTCTATGATTTAGTTTTATAGATCTGAAGTGTGGTTATAATTTAAGAATCTTGTTTGAGTTTGGGGCCATTTCTTGTCATCTTGACCTAAGATGGGTTTAAGACATGCATGGGGCATGCATATTCATCTAGCAAGAACTTTTATTGGCCTTTGGAGTACTTGTTAGCTTCTGAAATAATTAGGATTGAAGGCTTAATGGATTAAGGACTTAAAAGTTAGATTTTTAGCCTCAGATTGTTCTCACGATGTAATACACAAGGTCTCACGACATGAGAAGCATTTATGTCATGATTCTAGAGAGTTAGTTGGGGATCACGACATGAGACTAGGCCGCTCACTTCGTGAGGCCAGCTCTGGTTGCATTTCTTGACTAAGTTGACTGGGTTGAGTCAGGATGAGTGGTATTTGATCAAGTGAACTCTCATGACGTAACTAACGACTAGTCACAACATAAGATGTGGTTTTGGGCCTTATCGGGCCCTAGTATTGTGTCTGTGAGCCTTTTTGTGTTTGTGTTGATTGGTAGCTTGAGGTATCTGTTAAAATCACTGTCGTAAATGATTTAACAAATAAAAATATAAAATAAACTGCTTTATTGCACTAAAAGGTAGTACCTGTAAGCAGGGTAGGATCCTCACGGACACGTCCAAACGTTTACACCTCTTTGGTTAAGGTATGAACTAAATCTTGATGAATGCAATAAACATAAAAAGGGGGATTTATTTCTGAAAATTTAAAATAATAGAAATTTGAAAATGACAAGAAAATGACTATATTTAAACTGATGGAAATTGAATTAAGAGAAAGCAATTCCAGTTTCACGACGACTGCCCTAATCATATAATTAACCTTCAACACAATATTTGACTATGCACTTGTTCAAACTGGTACTAAGGTTCATTAACAAGATCTAATAACCTTTATTACAAAAAACCATTTAATCAAAATAAGCTCTTTGAAATAAATATAACTTTTTACTAAATTAACCAAACAAGCTCTTGACTAATAAAGAAAAGTTGCATTAGACACAGTGTAATTCCCAGTAAACTTCAATACCTCTCATAAGCTCGGTGGCGTTAAAACTTGTTTGATTAGTTCATATTAGAGTTAACCCTAAACTCAGAATTAATCTAATACATGACACTTTTTACTAATTAAACTCAGAATTAATCTAATATATGACACTTTTTACTAATTAATCTAGACAATTACGGATCTAAATAATTAGATGACTAGAATGATTCACAAACAATTTAAGTGGCCAACAGAAATTGAAATCAAAATCAAAAATTCAATTTAACATAGAATTTATCAAACTAAATAGTAATCGTAGTCAAACATTGTACCTAATGATTAATCATATGAAAAGGTTACGTCTTGCAAAACTGAAATCCGAGTTTTTAGCATGACATGGCCAAAAACGGATTACAAATAGTGGAAATAGAATCTAAACAATAAATCTTACTAAAATATGACTTGGAATTGAATCGTCTCCTTTAGATCTGCGTTCTTCACTTTAAACCCTCTGAAAATCGCCACTGAATCACCAGGAATCGCCAGTTAGGGTTACTGGAAGAGTATGGGGCTGTATTTATACGTCTAGCTGTCAAAACATCGTACCTACGATCGCAAGGGGACAACCTGCGATCGCAGGTTTTATCCAAAACAAGACACGAGACTTTTTAAATGAAGTACGTTTCCATTTAGACATAAATTTACCAACCTGCGATCGCAAGGGCACAACCTGCGATCGCATGTTTTTTTTTTCTAAGCTGGTGAATTTTTTGGCTCGATAAAACCTCGAAAGTAACCGCGATCGCAAGGGTGAACCTGCGATCAAAAGGAGACAACATGTGATCGCATGTTAATTTTTTGGCTCTTTTGATCGTCGTTCCTACTTCCAAGCAGTTCCTGATCATTTCCTGACATCCCTCCTTGGTCTAGACTCCAATTAAGCTCCAAAGCATCCACAAATGCATCCCGAACTTGTGCAATCATCAATGTGCTCCAAATAGCCCTGAAAAGTAATAACATACGTGAGCAGTACATACATTCTTCAAAATAATCATGAAACACGAAATGCATAAAAATAATCGGGAACTATTTATCTTTTTATAATGAAATACGAAGGAAATTATGCGAAAAGATGCATCTAATAAACCTCCCCAAGCTTAGACCTTACTTGCCCTCAAGTAAGGAAACAATAACTTTGGAAATGGAATTGAAGCTAAAGGCAATAACGGAATGACCTAGACACACATCAACTAAAAAAACGAAAACCTAAATAATAAGAACTACCAAAGCTAAACATAAAACATGCATGCAAAGATAAAGAAAGTGAACAATGAACTAAAATAGTATGAGAATGAGAAATGAACAATTAAAATGAAACGTGCTCTTTTTTTTCTTTATATATATATATATATATATATATATATATATATATATATATATATATATATATATATATTCTTACGATCATCGATAATGGGCTCCAATCACTAACACCAAAGCAACCATCCTGCCATCTTTCATATATCACAAACTCCCAAAGTAAGGAAGACCACAAAACGGTGTAACCCAATATTCCAACTCTAGTTTTATTTAAACTTTGTACCTTAATTAGCTTTATGAGTGAAATAACATAGCCGGATCTCATGTCCTTAAGACTAGATGGCCAAGAATTAGAATCGACGCATCCTTAAGAACCTGCACGACCAAATCAGCTTTCGCCGAAGCAGCAAGGGCCAACCCCAGTAGGAGCCCGAGCTCTATGCTTTCACTTTTTCGAGAGCCACAAGTATCATATCACACAGTTCTTTATTCGCCATATGTAAGTTTGGAACGACTTCTAACTTGATTGAACTTTGATTTACACTTCGTTTTGAGCTTGATTTCTTCAATCTCCTTTTTTTTTTTTAGAATTTCTTGAATTTCTTCAATTGAGCGCTTGAAATTCTTTAAATTGGGTACTAGATATGACGTTGTACCCTTTCTTCATTTTGACTGTGTGGATCTGATACTTAAGCTCTCTGCTACCCTGGAGGAGATCGCGCCACGAGGGAGCAGACAATGATAGAAATCAGACTGCCACAACAAATTGCACCGCCAGTGCGAAGGGCTATAACTCTATGGAATCGTTTGATGATAAGATCACCAAAATGCTGGTAGTATGACCCGGTGACCATGAACCATAAAAGAAAAAGCTCAGCTTTGCTGACTTTTGTAGTCTCAATCTGTGCATAGATAATATTGCATATAATTTTCAATGAAATTTTGAGAACAGGGTGCACAATACTGGTCTGTACGGATTGGACTGAATCATAAGACTCCAAACTAGTGATGGAGTACCAAAACTCGCGTACATCAAAAGCTAGGGTGGGCTTGGATAAACTGGTGATGGGGGTATGGAATATAATACATAACTGGTCCATGTGAATAGTGTGAGGGGTGCTAAAAATGTGAAAAGCTAAATTTCCCTCATGATTTATCTCACTAAGCGTGGCTCAAAACTCTCGGGTCAATAGGGGACAAGTACCAAAATCTGCAGATGATGGGCGCTCCCAACCAATATTGGCAAAAAGAGCGTGAACACCATCATAAATATGGAGTTCCCTCATTAATGTATGGCAAGGAGCCCAGGCTTGTGGGATAATCTAGCGGTCTAGAAGCCGTTTATAACAGTCTAGTACGGCCTGTAAACCTAAATCCACAGTGACATTGTCTACCTGGACAGTGTATGAAGGCTCTGGAGCGTCAGCCTGTCTGCGTGAACGAGATGGTCTAGGGGCATTTTTTTTTCAGGTCAAAAGCGGGACAAGGAAGGCACAATTTCCAGGTAAAAGAAAATAGTAATAATAATAATAAAGCAAAAATAAGTATTCCTAAGTACTCCCAAACGACTGCACAAATATATAACAAAAATAGAAATTCAGTTTCAGAACGAAAATACCTGACTGTGCGTGAGCAACATTATATTTTTCGTGTCGATTTATTTTTGAAATTCCGTTCGGATGAATCTTTTCTGAATCGCGTCGTGAGCAAACATTTCTACTTTTCGTGGCCTGTGGATGACTAACAGAATGTAGATCTGAAAAAGAAACTCACAAAAATTCAAATTTGAAAATGAACAAAATGAGATTTTTGGAGAATTTCAACCATGAATACATGATTTCGTTACCGTATAGATGTTGTAGGAGTAAAATAGAAGAAATTGATACCTTATTTGCTTGATTTGGATGAAAAATGAGCGATTTGGGTGTTTTTTGGTTAAAGAACTCGAAGTATAATGGATTTCAGAGATAATTTTTGGAGTGTTGTGGTTAAAAATGAGGCTTGGGATCAGTATATATAAGGAAAACACAACCTGCGACCGCAAGGGGGGAACCTGCGATCACAGGTTTCAAAAATTTAACCTTTGGCAATCCTTCCGATGCAGGCTAATGTCTAGATGTGAAAAGGTAATGCATGCGATCGCAAGGGATTAACATGCGATCGCAGGTTTCGAGATAAATGCGAGAATTGATGTTTTAACATTCAAATATGTCGCAGATACAGAAAAACTAATACATGTGATCGCAGGGGTTGTACCTACGATCGCATGTGTGTTCAATTATACTCGAATCGATTTTAAAATTGTTCAAAAATGTTCCAAACCCTAAAAACTGATACATGCGATCGCAAGGGGAAACCTGCGATCGCAGGTTATCCATTTTCGTGAAAACAGTTCCAAAAATTTCTCGATGATTACCTGTGACCCTAATTGTATAACCTGTGATTGCAAAGACTGGGTATGCGATCGCAGGTTCCACCAAACTGTATTTTTCAAAAAAAAATCACATTCTCTCTGTTCCTTCTTATTTTAAAAACACTATTCAACTAAAAATAGACGACCTAAGTAGCTAAAAACACATAAGAAATTAAAAAGAAGTCGAAAAAACGAAAACCAAAACAAACGCCCGGGTTGCCTCCCGGCATGCTGCCCGTTTTTATTGTCGTTGGCTCGACATTGTTACTTGGTTTCCTCAATTGCTGTAAGTCGGGACCGCGACTACCTACACTTCTTTATTTGTAACTTGAAACCCTTCGTAAAATTGTTTGAGACGGTGACCATTTACCTTAAACATCTTGCCTGTTTGTTCACTCTTAATTTCTATAGCACCATGATCAAACACGTTAGTAACAACAAAAAGGTCCCACCCAACGAGACCTAAATATACCGGAAATAAGTTTGAAACGAGAGTGATAAGAGTACCTTTTGACCAGTAGTGAATACTTTTCGTGAGATCATCTTGTCTTGAAATGCTTTCGTCTTCTCCTTATAATTGTTTCGTTCTCGTAAGCATCATTCCTAATTTCTTCTAGCTCTTGGATATCCAATCTTCTTTTCTTGCCAGCTTCATCCATGCTCATATTCAACTTTTTGATAGCCCAATATGCTCTGTGCTCCAATTTAATTGGTAATCGACAAGGTTTGCCAAAAATAATTCTATATGGTGACATACCAATAGAAGTTTTGTATGTTGTCCGGTGAGCCCATAACACATCATCTAGTTGAATACTCCAATCCTTCTTGATTGGACTGATGGTTTTCTCTATAATGCCCTTGATTTGTCTATTTAAAGCTTCAGCCTACCCGTTGGTTTGCAGGTGATATGTTGTGGATACCCGATGTGTGACGCCATATTTCTTGAGGACTGCTTCGAGGGTGCGGTTGCAGAAATGCATGCCCGATCACTAATAATGGCCTTTGGTGTCCCAAACCTAGCAAATATATTTGTTTTGACAAAATCGACCACAGTCTTGGCATCGTTCGGTCGTGTAGCTTTTTGGAACGCCTGTAGATCCGGGCTAGTCAATTTAGAGACGATAGTCGTCAAAAAATGGATTTTTGATAAAAGATTATTTAGAATGAATAATCTTAACTAAGTTATAGTATATGTTACAAGGTTTCCGTGCATATAAAGAACGTTGAAATCCGAGTTATAATGAAGAAGTTATGACCTGTCGAAGTTTTGCGACAGAACCGGCACGACACAGTGTGACGTAAATAGTGTATTTATGTTAGAACAATATTTAGCCTTAGCAATCTAAACGAAAGTCGTAGAGTTTGTTAAACCGTGAGCGTGCATAAAAAGAACGTCCAAATCTGACTTCGTATGAGGAAGTTATGATTTTTCTAAGTTTTAGCTTAGTAGTGTGCAACCCGAATACTCGATTTGAAATCGAGCGGTTTTTAGCTGAAACAATCTAAACGAGAATCGAAGATCTCATTGTTAGTAGCAAAACAATGAAAATTTAGGCGATAACGAACGTCGGACGAAGAAGTTATGAATTTATAATGAAGTTTTTCTATCCCGACCTTCTAAAAATAAATAATAAGAAATAAAAGTCAAAATTAGCCGACGGAGTCTAAATGAAAGTTGTAGAGTATGGTCTGACCTACGCGTGGATATAAAGAACGTCGAAAACGGAGCTCGTATGCAAAAGTTGAACAATTTAGAAGTTTGATGAGTCAAATTACGCCAAGCGTAATTTGAGTACGCCCAACGTAGTCAGAGGGGTGCAACTTTTCTGACCAATACTCGAGTGCCACCAATTGACGCATGCAGTGACATCAAAGTATGCCCAGCGTAACCTAATTACGCCCAACGTACTGAGTACGCCCAACATAATCCCAAACCCAACAGCCTATACATAGAACTCGAGATCAACCATTTTCCTTGCGATTTTTCTTCCTTTCTCTCTAAGTTTTGCATCGGTTTGCATGCCAATAATATCCCGAAGCCTCGGTATCATTCCCGAGCCCCAAAACAAGTTCTGAAGTCCTGAAGATCCCGAGAAGTGAGATTTCCGAGCCGAAGCCCTGCCCGCGAGGAGCCCGGTTTTTGTGAAGATCTTCCAGATCTACCTAATAATACTACTTCTACAAGTCGTAGTGTTATCCGATCATCTTCTAAACAAGTGAGTGTGTGGTCACTTTCTTCTTACGCATAAATATTAAGTATTTGCTATGAAATACGTATTATGTGTATATATATTTGTTGTTTATTTGAGATAATTATGGAATGGATAAATTATATAGGTTTTAATGAGTTAAATCGTATACGTATTTTGTATCTACGAATATGTTGGTTAGAGTATAGGTAGATGAGATTCTTGGTATGGGTTAAAAGATGATTTGGACCATGAGATAAAAGGATAAAGAGATAAACTTGTTTTAGATCCGAGAATATGGATCAGAGCAGGAGGTTAGTTTTAGATCCAAGGGTATGGATCAGATCAAGAGGTTAGTTTTAGATCTGGGAATACGGATTAGGTAATGAGGCAAATTTAAGATCCGGGAGTACGGATTATGTATTTTTGAACTGCGTATTCTTTCGATAAGGTATCGTGAGTATAGTCCCTTTTAGGAACATGATTGTAATACGAGTATTGATTAAAGTATGAAATATACATATGTATGTGAAGTATTTATTATTGTCTGAAATACGTGTTAGATATATTTGATGATATACCACGTGCAAATCAGTTATGGTTCAATATGTGTTAAGAGGTGAATATATGATATTATTATTGCTTAAAAAAAACTTTGCATTAAGTATACTCGTAGTCAGCGTTTCCAAATGGAGATAGTATCGAAAGTTGATTTAGGCATCGTAGGCTTGCCTAGTGATGGGTTAAGACTTAAATAGGGATGTTTAGTTCCATTAAGTTTGGATATTGGGTAGCCTCTTATTAAGAGTACGTGTGTTGTGAGATTGATGATCGGTGGAGTACGTCCTACGTACAGAAGTACATTTTATGTAAGGAGTCCTTTTTAAAGCTCTGTGTGTTGGGTGCTGCTTGTGCCAGAAATACTATCATGTACAAAGTCCATTGACAAATTTGTGTGTCGGTTAAGGGAGCGTACGGGAATACTCTATTGGTATTTCCCCATACTTTTATTTTGAGAGAGCTTTGGAGTCAACGTTTCTTTTATGAAGTGATCGAACGAGCTTTATATGTCAGCGTTTTCTTTCACGAAGTAATTAATGGAACTCCGTAGACTGCCTAATAAAGTGTGTCGGTAATAGACCATTGCTAGGTATGTCTGGTGTTAAATTGCTGGATAGGGTGCGTCCGGGGGTGAAATACCTCATGTATTCAGACCACAGCCTAGGCATTAGTCGGTGTTTCCATTTCTGATGCCGGATAGGGTGAGTCTCGGGGTTCAGACCATAGCCTAGGCATTAATTAGCGTTTCCATTGCCAGATAGGGTGCGTCTGGGTATACCTCACGATATTCAGACCACAGCCTAGGCATTGATAACTACCCCTGACTTAATTGTCTTGTGGTTCTTTCTGTTACGAACGAAGGTTCGTGGTGAAACTTATTTCATTCCCCTCAATTGATGTCTTTATTGATCCTCGTTTGCTGCCAGGGAATTTCCGA